TACTGGGAAGCTATTCAGTAAGTTGCATTCTATGTAATAGAAAGTCCTATTTCAGGTTTCATTGCACTTTCAAACCTTTGCATCTTTGAATGAGTGCTACAGTGCGTTACTGCTCACCAGTAAGTCCTGAGTTGATCCAATGAGGTTTAAGAGAATCGGTTTCTTTTCCTTTCAGAATCTGTAGGTTGTGATTAATATCTTTTTGCAGAGCATACTGAATAACAATAGTGGGAATAAAGCATAAGAGCAAATGCCTCCATCTTATCTGTACTTCAGGAACAGTTTCCCCTGACTCAGAGTTGTTTTGCCATTTTCCGTCACCTCATCCCTGTCAAAGTCTTGTAAATCAAAGTACAGCTCAGCCTGGTTAGGGTATAGAAAAGAAATAACTCATACCTTGCAGGCATGTTGGACTACATGACCTCCAGCAGTCCCTTCCAACCTCAACAACTCTGCGATTCCGCTGCAAAAAATTGCTGAAATTTAAAGTTGCAGCATAAATGTTCCTAAAATATTACAATATCTTTATATTGCTTAACCTGAATGGAGCTTGCTAGGACTTTATTGCTTTACTACTGTTTAATCAACTTTAGGCAGTTGTCAGAGAAATAGGATATGTGATCTGAATGCCAATCTGATGAACCAGTTCTGGGTATTTATGCTCTGATGAAACTGGTTTTTACCAGCACTAAGCTTTCTGGAGTTAAAAAAATAAGTGATGAACGAAAGACAGTAATGATTCAATGTTGATCATTATGAAATTTTTGCAAAGTCTTCAGCACTTGAGGAAGGCTCCTTTTGAAACCATGTTCAGTCATGGCTGAGGGACTTTTTTTTTTTTTTTTTCTCGCTTAAAACTTTTAGGAAGGTATTTTCCACATCATAAATTAAGATGATCTTCATATTTTCCAAATCCCAGAATGGTTCTGAGAGTGTTTTTAGTTTTGTTCTTTTGCCCAGATGGTAAAGAGCTATTTTTAAGAATAATTTTTTTTTTAAGCAAAAAAGTAAGAAAACAGTGAATGTGTTTCACTTTTTCCTCTTTTTTTTTAAAGGGAAAGGAGCTGGATACAACAATCTTTAGAGTTTTTGTTTCTTACTTCTATTTTATAAAAATCCATTAGTTAAATTTTCTGAGGCTAAAACAGAGAAGTAGGCATAGAATATTTTTCCTAATCCTGATTTGATTTGACTGTGATAGAATGAAGGTGGTGTTCTTAATTTCTCACTCTGCTGATTCTTTTCTCTGAAGAGTTAGTGCTATTATGTGTCCTTTATGCTTAGTAAGTAAGTATCAGAACAAGTCAGGTGCCCGTTGAAGATGCCTGGTGTAATTTTAGACGTCATAGAGTATGAGTATACTTCTAGCTGTTGTTCCAGGAAGGCATAGGTTTCCCACAGGTCCCACCACATCTTTTGCAGCCCTTTGTGGATGTCTGTGGTAGTTTATGACACTAAGGTATACGAATTACCACATAGATTTTGTTTAGTGACTGAATGTTTTACCTTTATTATGCACCTGATCTCCGTCGATCAAATCTGTATTTTGAAGTTGTTGCTATAGTTCTTGAGGACAGTGAAAATTCTGCAGTGGTGTTAGCATTAAGGAGCTTTTCTTGTAATTGCCAGTGAGTGGCAAATGATAAAATCAGCTACTTCAGTCATGTTAGTCACATAAACACTATGAACTTTTAATTTCAGTAATGATATTAATTAGTTATAATTTGAGACTTTGACAGTGAAGTATAATTTGAGGTATTTTGCTCCCAAACCTCCTGTAGCTTTTAATAAATCTATCTATAAATGTCATCACCTATTTTCTGTGATTAATTTATCTCTGTACTTCTTCAAAAACAGAAGAATGGGCTTTTTTTTTCATTTACCTTTTGGAGCAGTTTGCAAGCCTTTGTGGTTTAATGTTTCCCCACTCCATCTCTCTTAAATTCATGAAACCTTACAGATTTTAGAGTCAATAAGTAGTACTAGAAGCTCACTTCCCAATGTGGGTCTCTTACAACTTGTAGAGAGCACCAGGGAGGAGAGCAGACATGTTTGATATGATTTAATTTATCTGCAAGGAGGATCCTGGGATTTAAGTTTAAAATTGGTTGAAGAAAGAGGGACAAAACATGAAAAAATAAATGAAGGAACAACAATCTGCTTCCATATATATATTTAGTAAAAAGTTGCCAATGCACACGACAGTTAAAAGGAAAAGTAATTAACATTAGCATTCTGTTTTATGCCTGCTTTTCATGTTTCTGGTATGATTTCTACAATTATAACAGCTTTTCCATAAAAAACTATTTTAAAGGTGCTGTGGGAATGAGCTTTTATTTCTATATCCATTTTCTTAGAAAGCAAGTTTAACTGAGAAAATAATTTATACAAGGAAGCATTCATTAGACGTGGTTTGCAGTCTTTATTATTATCAGACCAAAACAGTTGGTCTAAAAAGTCACTACTAGTTGTTATCTAAAGAATAATCCTCAGAAGTTGTTTTTCATGGCCACTGTATTTTTCTTAAATTTTGTATTGCAAAGGTCCCTAGAGTTACACATGTTTTGCATTAGCTTTGTGAATTGGGTCCTGCCTTTCTCTTTGTACAGTTCATCATTTCAAGGTTTTAACCTGGATGGTTTCCCAGAAGCCATATGGCTTTCAGGCTTTCTATTGTTGTTGGGAATTTATGTTGCAGGGCTTCGTAAGCTGTGACTTTATGGATAAGAAAATAGCCACCAGTTTTCCCAACTTCTGTAGCTGGGATCAGTCTTTTCTCTGACCCTCTGGCTCTGGTGATACACAACACTCTTGTGTCAACATGGTATATAGTAGGAATGATATCATGGTTGAATAAAATCAAGTTGTCCTGAATGTTGATTTCATTGACATAACAATTAACTCCTGCAATGTATGCTAATGTCTGTCTTTATCCCTCTATGTATACTTTTTTGTAAGTTCTTAAGACTATTTCTATTGACATCTATAAATAAGTAAATTAAAAGTAAAAAGTCATTATAACACCATGATGGTGCAGGACATGATTCTAGAAGAAAACCTAAGGCTGCTCAGGGATAAGAACCTGGAATGATTGGAAACTTGACATGGTCACTTTTAAAAATGCAAATTGACTTAGTTTAGCAATGATTTTTCTTTATGATTTTTCACTTTGAATGCTGAGCACAGGAGGTACTGCTGAAATAACATACAGTAGCATAGTTTTGGACCAATGCTGAAAGCTTTATGCTGAAAAATGATAACTCACTGTTTTACTGATGTCCGAAACACAGTGATTGCATTCTCCTTCTGAAAGTGAAAACATCTCACTCCTCCAAATCAAACTGTGAAGACTTGCTCCCTATTAAATAACTTTTGGTTATATACTGATACAATTTTACTGGACTATTAAAAATTGCGCTCTGGGTATTTATTACAATCAATCAGGAAGGACCACTTATCTTGCATGCTTATGCTATAAGGAAGGTCATTAGAAGAAGGGTATGTTGTATAAGCTGATATCCACTTTCTTCCCCTTAATTCCTGACTTTTGTTAAATAACTGCTAGATGTTTGGATATTTGGATTTCTTTCCCCCAGCACTTTATCATAGGATGCTCTGTCAATTCATATGGTCTGGATTTTGATGCAGTATAATGTATTTAGAAATAAGCATTCTATATGCACCCTGCTGGGAATTTATATACACGGTATGCCATCCTGTGAACACTTGTTCAGTGTCACTTGTTGACTGTAGTCTATGATATTGGTGAAGATATTCCTTTGGGAATTTTCTGAGTGGTTAGTTTTGCCTTATTTAGACAAAAATGCTGGAAAATTAAATGGAAAATAAATGTTAGTGGAGTTATCAAATTTTTAAAAATGCAGTTTACATTTCTTCTATATAAGAAAGCTCTTGGCCATGCCTGTGTTACATAGTTTCTCTAGAAAAATAAGTCAGTTTCTCAATTCATAGCATTATGATGGCGAAAATCTTTTTAGTAGGGCCAGCAGTGACAAGACAAGGGGTAATGGTTTTAAACTAAACCAGGGTAGGTTTAGACTAGATATAAGGAAGAAATTCTTTACAATGAGGGTGGTGAAACACTGGAACAAGTTGCCCAGAGAGGTAGTGGAGGCCCCATCCCTGGAAGCATTCAAGGCCTGGTTGGATGGGGCTCTGAGCAACCTGATCTAGTTAGCGGTGTCCCTGCTCCTGCGGGGGGGTTGGACTAGATGACCTCTAGGGGTCCCTTCCAACCCAAAACATTCTATGATTCTATGAATATTGAATATTTATTAATAACATGTTACTTGCTGTGTAAATCATAATATTGTATAATGAAAGATATGTTTCATATAAACACTCATGGTCAGTCAGCAAAATGTATGTGTTTCTCTGAAATTGTGTAATTACTTTTTTGTCTGACTTATTTCTAGCACTTATGAAAAAAATGGTTCCTTTTGATACAAGTGCCACCAAGGAAGATTCCATTAATGTTGCCATCAGTGAAATGAAGCTGCAAGCAGAAAGAAGGAAGGAGTAGAACATTTTGCTAAAACACACCAGCTTTCTCTGTGGTAAATTCCATTCCACTCTTTTTTTGGTTTTGAACAGTAGTAATTCCATCTGCTATAGGAATGACGCACCCTTAATGATTCAGCTATTGCCAGACACTTAAATGAAAGAGCACCAAGAGTGAGTCTAATGAACTCTTGAGATAAATTATGTAACTTGTAAACCAAAAGTTTTCTGGGATTATGCTATTCTCTTGGATTTGTTTCTGCAGTCCTTCTAAACTAAATTTATTGTATTCCTGAAATATTGTGAAATGAAAGACCTGTGACATTATTCTTTGCTATGAGCTTATTTCCCTCTGTACAGGAATCATTCTGACATTTGTTTTTTTTATAAAATTTAATAACATTATTAATAATGAAAAAATATTCAGAAATTTCCTTTGTCCTAATATTTATAATGGGAGTCATCATACACTGTTGTGCAGACATGTTTGTGATTTTAGGTTCTTCAGTTTGCAACAGTCATTTAAGAAATTAGTGATAAATATTAAACAAAACCAAACTTCCTGAAAATCAGTGAAAATTCATATCATGATTTCAGATCCAGCATGTCTCTATGATAAGCTGTTTAGAATTATTCTTCTGATCAGAACAATTTTGTCAGGTGACCTCTGATAGGGCACCTGAATCTCACTGATCTGTATGAAGCATGTTGAAGGGCACTGCTATGTGGCTGTGAAAATTTCAGTAGCAGGGTTTAATGATCATTTATTTATTCTGTTCTGTTCTCCATTAGAAGAGATGTGTCGTATTGATTTTAAAATGTTATGGAAATACAATATTGCACAGTTGTATTTGTTCAGATATCTCTATTCTAGACAAATTGGATACAATTCTGCATTACTGTGCTCTCACACAGCATGTCAGAGCAGAATTTTCTGCTGTCAAAAGAAATGCAGGTGTTTCTGATGGTCCTTGTTTTATTCTCCCCTCTAGTGCTTCTGGCTGAATCACTATGAATGTGCCTTAAAAATTTGCCAATTCTATCAGGATACTGTAGCAACATGTACACCATTGAAACCATTTTGTCTTGTAGTCTTCTTTCATATTTATGAAGCTTTCTTCTCTGAAATACTGTCTTTTTTAGCACTATAGGTGTCTCAGACATAATTCACAGGTCACTGTGCCATCTGAAAACAGGACTTTTTTTGGTTTTAATTTTCTGAAGAAGGTTCTGCAGTCCCAGTGGGTTCTCTGGTCAGTGCACTTACTTGACAATTTCCTTGTATTCAGCCTGTTTCAAATAGAACTCCTTGCTGAGAACATCAAAATCGGACAAGGAAATGAGAAAAAAATTGAATTAAGTTTCCTTTCATTTTCTATACACTTAAATTACTTAAAATTAAAAAAAAATCTAATTTGGTTAAAGTTTTCTTTACCTTTTGTATGTGTGTAATGTTGTGCATTGTAGTGCTGACATTGGCTTTTTGCAGACTTCTGGCACATTTGCTCATTCGGAAGGTCAAGAAAGCAAAACAGGCACATCCATCTCTTCTGATCTCAACAGCAATGACAGGGCCAAGATAAAAACATAAACAAATAAACTTCTACTCTGGAGAAGGCAGGACAAATAGAAACCTGTTTCTGTCATGGTCTACAAAGAGTGTGGGTATCATGAAACAGTGTTTAGCCCAAGCCACGGTTACCATAAACTAAACTTACTCTAAGTGTATCCAACATTTGTAATTTATTTTTTTAATTAGATCAGAGCACAGCTGGAAATATGGTGCTTGAAATATTTTAGCTGGTTTGTCTGGTGAAACGTTAAAAAATTGCAAAATAAAATGTCATGAGTTTGCAGACTTTGATACCTACAAATTATGGCTAAAAATATAGAAAGGTCATTTAAAAATATATTATAAAACAGTAAATCATGCTCTCAAAACACCTCATGTTGTAATGAGGCCTGATGCTTGGATTGCCAGTGGAAAAATGTATGCCCGACCCACTTTACTGAGGTTGAAATTATTTTTGATGTAAAGTGCCTGTTGGTAAATGAATGGGGCTTTAAGAGTCTCAGCTGAGAAGTAATACTCAGAAAAATAAAGTCCTTTTTTGCTGAGGAATTGGTGAAAATCTGGCTATTGATTGCTCTTGCCATTTTATGTATTTATACATTTTTTTTCCTCACTTGTAACTCAGAAATCTGAAGTATATGTCCTTAAAACAGTATAAGTACTGCTTTATAGGGTTATAAAAGTAAGGATAAGCAGTCTGAACTGCCTCATTATTACATCAAGTATGGAATCGATTTTTATACAAAGCAGGACATAAATGTCTACTAGGTGAAAAATTTTGGGTTTGAGACTTTAAATATGCTCATTGCTTAGTATATTTGCCTTTGGCCATGTGACTGGGTTTTCAACAGAGTTTTATATCCTTTTTAAAAATTTTCTACAAGGGCTGAGGGAACAGAAGGGAAGAAGTCAAACCACAAAAAAAAAAGAGAGGAATTTTTAATGAGTAGGCTTATGGACTCCAAAGCCAGGAAATTCTTTCTTAAATTTACCCTTTTGGCATGGCAGTCCAGATAGCATGTAATATTTGTCTCTCTTCCACCTTTGATAGAGGTTCATATTACAAAGTGAATTTTGTTTCCTTTTTACTGAAGGCTGAAGTTCCGTTCATGACATTACGTGAAACTGTCCCTTTGTGGTTTAAGAAATAATATTTTTTCCATATTACCCTGAAATAGATTTCTCTGACCAGTTTCAATTTTTAAAGTAGAAAAACAGATAATTTTTTTAATAAAACATTTTGTATATTTCAAATCTTAAAGATTGCTGTTCCTTCGGGTAATCAGATTTTTTTAAAACTTTAACCCTTCCATGATCTGTTCCTTGGTTCTTGCCCAGTAGTTTTCAATAATCAAAAAATGTGGTATCACACCTTAAAATGGTGGTTTGTTTCTTTGTCCTGTTCAGCATTTGGTAAATCAGGTAACTTTGTATGTACTAAGTACATACAGATTTAACAAGCTAATATCAGGCATCCATGGGTTTTTTTACTGCTGTCCTGGAATAAAGTGTGCTTTCAATATTGTGCTTTCAGAAATGCACTGGCCTTTATTTCAGCATCAAATAATTGTCACTTCAATAACCTTTAAATTTTATGCCCTTCAGTTCCTTAATGTTTTACAGTACCTATTTTTAATTACTTTTGACATGGTATTTACTAAATATACAAAATAATTTATTTTTATTATGTAATTATGTTCTACTAAGAAGAAGCATCAAAAGAAAAATAAAACTTAGTCCAGGATAAAAAACTAAGTTTAAAGTATAAAGCAAAGCAATTTTCTTACATTTACTTTTAAAATTTTTGATGGAAGCCAGTCTTCAGTGGTGGTGAAAGTACTCCTTGGATATTCAAACCTCAGCCACATTTTTACTAGCTATCCCACCAAAGATACATTAAAAGGGCAACAAAGAAAATACTATTCTAAACTCCATTTTCGAGCTAAGGAATCTGCGTATCAGTTCATCTCTGGTTTGCAAGGCATAGTCTCTGCAGTGTGTAGCACTGAATGGATTTTTCATGAATGAAAGTGCCAATATTACCTTGCAAGTAAACAAGTTGGTAGTTTTGTAACACTGATACCACTTCTATGGCTGAAAGTTGGTAGTATGAAACCCGAATACATTCTCATATCTACAACATGCAGTAGAATTTATTCATAAATTTATGTGGGACTGCTTGTTACAGTCGAATTTTACCGTGGCTCTGTTAAATTCTTCATGTTCAAAGTGTGTTAGTAATATATTTATCTCTCCCTGAGCCCTGTCTTCATCTCACAGAAGTAATTGATACTCGCGTTAATGTGAGCTGCGTGCCAATATCTGAGGATGCAGCCTTGTCAAAAATGGATGTGCAGGAGGACATCACATAAATTCCTATGGTTTTGATTTAATTGTAGAATTTAGAAGCAGATGTAGAGGAAAACTAGTAGTAGAAGGAATGGAAAGCAGCTCATGATTAAATCAAAATTTTATTCTTAGTGTCTTAATTTAAAACCTGCTTTAGAGCTACTATTTTCATGTAAGTAAAAGTGATCCCTAAAGATTCCATCTTGGATAAATTATTTTTTTACACACTAAAATTCTTTCTACTCTCGCACAACTCATCTCAACTCTGTACTGTAAGCATGTCTAGGCTGTTGCGAGTATGAACTGTTTTGCTTTTCTATGTAAAGGACTACATTAAATTTTAAATCTGAAGAGCGTTTCAGTGCTGTATACAGAAGTACAGCAGAGCAGAATCTGATAACCTCAGTCTTTCAAAAGTCTCCAAACTAATGCCTCTGGGAATGTTGACTGATGAAAAATGAAAGATTGCTGTGGTTAAAATACAGCAACATCCAGCATTTATCATTTGTGCCAACAACAGTAGCTCTTATGTTTCTAAAGCTGAAGTTGCACATCTGCCATTTCTCAGGCTGTAAGAATGAGATTTTCTGTTCCCTTGCCTTAACAGTGGCAAAATCTGTAATATCATGAGCCTTCAGAAAATATGCAGTGATGATATTTTTAAAATTTCTAGTCATTTTATTTAGGTACCTACTTGGTGCTATTGGGAACCAAATGTTTTTGGAACCTGATTGTTAACATGTTTTCATTAAAGTAATACATTTAATTACAAGCACTGCATAAAGATATCTTTCAAGATAATTCCTCTGTCTTTATTTAGGGACATGGCTCCTTAACAGGTGTTTTGCTTGAATAAGCACAGCAATTGTTCCTTGGCTGTCTGTTAGTTACATCTGTCTTCAGATCAAGGTTGTTTTAATCTTAAACTGCTTTTCTCATCTGCCATCTACAGTGTACTAGTATGTCAGAAGGCATGCCATCATTTCTTCTCTTACCCCACATTAATAACTTTGGTAGCTGATATGCCCAGGGAATGACGTTAATTTTGAAGGCAGTTGTTTCTTCTAGCATAATCTCTTTTCATATGAATTCTGCCACTCTTATTTGTTTAATAAAATAAAACCTACTTGGTAAGCTGACTAACATCAGAACACATGCTGCCTAATTTTAAAGATTAT